AACTATCAAGACTCCAATGTCTCATGTGTGGGTTCCAAGCTCAGGTGCATATAGCTTAGAAGTATTGTAAAAAATCTATCTATTTTCCTGTATCTTGAAGACGAATTGTCCTTCTTATGCACATCGAAGGAGGGCAAATATCGTCCTGAGATAGCGCTCGTGCGTGCGTAAAAACAAGAAGGTTGAGATCTAAATTTTTGAAATCATACCTTTTTCCGCCCCATTTTACGCACCTAACTCCCTTCCAACGAATAGTCTCATAGTATATAGTCCCGTCTCTCTTTTAGCCGTCTCTCTTTTAGCTATTATTAGAACCGATACTTTTGCCATTATCAACAAAAAAAAAATTCTAATACTCTCGCTAAAGCATAAATTATTTGAAATGAGATCCAACGTACTTGATAAATGCAAAGAGTCGACTTTAACACTCTTAAAGGGATCCCTGGATTTTTTTAATCGGAGAAAAGTCGATCCTCGAATTGAGATTTACTGAAATTGATATTTTCTGGAATCTGACGTATATCGTTTGGAGAACATCCGGTAGAAATCAAATACATGTAAATTCCTTGTTTGGATTGCATGAAATATTATTTTTTTTGGATATGCAAATCCTTTTTTTCTCTCTCTAAAATTTTTGAGATAATTTCTCTCTCCAATTTTTTTTCTAAAATTTTAATACACTCTCTTTCAAAACCATAAAATTTGAAATAGTCTATCTCTCTAAAAATTTTGAGATAGTTTCTCTCTATAAAATTATATATATTTTCTCTCTCTAAAATTTGATAAAGTTGTACTTTGTAAAATTTTGAGATACTTTCTCTCTCTAAAATTTAGGATAGTTTCTCACAATAATTTTTTTAAATAGTTTCTCTTTCTAAAAAATTTCAAGTAATTTCTCTCTCTAAAATATAATATAGTTTCTCTCTCTAAAATTTTAAAGCACTTTCCCTCTCTAAAACTTAAAATTTGAGATAGTTTATTTCTAAAAATTTTAAGATAGTTTCTCTCTCTAAAAAAAATAGGTACTTTCTCACTCTAAAATTTGATATAGTTTCTCTAAAATTTTAAGGTGCATTCTCTCTCTAAAACCTAAATTTTATGATAGTTTCTCTCTCTAAAATTTAAAATTTGAGATACTTTATCTATATAAATTTTTTTAAATAGTTTTTCTCTTTAAAAATTTTAGGTACTTTCTCTATCTAAAATCTGATATAATTTCTTTCTTTAAAGTTTTAAGATATTGTCTCTAAAACTAAAAATTTGAGAAATTTTCCCTCTTTAAAATGTTTTGAGGTACTTCTCTCTAAAATGTTGTAAGTAGTTCATCTCTCTAAAATTTAATGTAGTTTCTCTATCTAAAATTTTAATATATTTGCTCTCTAAAACTTAATATTTGAGATAGTTTCTCTCCCTAAAATTTTAATTTGGTTTATTTAAAATTTTAAATTTGAGATAGTTTATCTTTCTAAAAATTTAAGATAATTTATCTTTCTAAAAAAAATTATATATTTTCTCTCTAAAAACGTTTGTATATTTTCTCTCTTAAATATTTTGTATGCTTTCTCTCTAAAATTTGATGCAGTTTCTCTCTCTAATATTTTAATATATTTTCTCTCTCCAAAATTTAATATAGTTTCTCTCTCTAATATTTAAATATTTTTTTTGTTCTTCAGCGGCAAAATGGGTCATTTCCATGAATCTTTCAATTCCATCAATTTTGGTAGAATTGAGCATTCCGGAATATCACAAAAATTCCAATTCCAATGAAAATGTCAATTCTAAGCGAACCAAACACGTTTCAGGAATAGTGACTCCTTTAAATCTGAATCCAAAGTACCAAACAGACTTTAAAAGAAAAACATATCTATAATCATCTTTTGTAAAATATCAATTATACCCCCAATGAATTGCAAAATGAGAAGCACAAGAAAGGGGGTTTTATTCTCCATTTCGTTTTTTACCAAATGGCTTTTTATTTGTAGGATTTTTCATTATTCAAAAGCTTTCATATATTGAAAAAAAGAAAATTAAAAAGCTGTGTCAAGAATGAAAAAGAATTAACGTAAATTAAACATAAAGATAAAATGGACATCATAAAATTTTAATGCAAGGTTAATGACAAAATCACGCGAGTCATTCATACTAAACTGTTAACATATGGATATGGATACGTATCGTACTGATGCATACTAGTATGGATACGTATGGATACATATATCTTGAGAAGAGAAAACACGAAGATGAGTTTCCTTCTTTTATGCCGAAACAAGCAAAGAGAGAACGCTCTTTGAGGCCCAATTTTGGGACACGCTCTTCGAGGCTCAGTTTTTGGACACACATCCCCTGTTCTCGGTATACAGGCCCACTCTATGATACACAAGTCGTGTATGGTTCAGCCTATGCTGCAGAGGTCGTGTATGGTGGGGTGGCAGGGGTGGTTGATGGAGCAGCAACTAGTGGTCGAGAGGCTTTTCCCGGCAGAAGGCGGTGGTGTGAGCGGGCGCAACCAGATTTGGTGGAGAGTTCGGGTGCTATGTTGTGATTCGGAGGATGCTGCCCGGGTATTTTGGGGAGCGAGAGTGAAGCATCTGAGTGTAGCACCTCACCCCGTTCTTGGACATTCCTTCTCTATTTTTCTCTCTAAAAATTGTTCTTTACTCATTCCCTTGCTTTTCTTTCTAATCAGTGCAATATCTCTTGAATAGTCTATAGGTTCCCTTCCCTTGCCTTTTTTAGTGGTTGAATACTACTCGTAAAAGTCACGCACTTTGAAATGATTTTGTTGGAAGAACTTTTTATTACCCTCTTTGCAAAAGTGACGGTGCACCAATATTTACATGACAGACCTTTGGAGTAAGTGCAAATATAAGTACATGTGACAGTTGAATCTGATTGCACCTCTATGTTCATCTGGCATCAAAAAGATAAACCATTAGTGACATGCTACCCTATGATGTCATATCTATTTTGGATCTTACTGTTCTTAACTTCGAATTTAAGGTCCAACTGTGCTTGTTGATCTGCTTATTTCTATTGGCTCTTTCAAGTGTCTCAAATTTGATGATCGAAGTTCTAGATCCTAGTTGATAATAAACTTTTTCCTTACTTGATTATGTTTAATGATTGAGTTTTTCATTACTCAATCCCATTAGATGATGAAGTTTTCTGTTACTCCATCATGTGTGATGATCGAGTTTACTCGATCCTGTCTGATGATCAGGTTTTTTGTTACTCGATCCTGTCTAATGATAGAATTTTTCGTTACTTGATCCCATCTGATGATTGAGTTTTTCGTTATTGGATCTCGTTTGATGATTGAGTTTTCAGTTACTCGATCTAGTATGTTTCGAATGCCGGTTTGTCTGCTGTTGATTGAACTTTTGTTACTTGATCCAGGATGTTCTTGAGGCCCTATGCTCTTGAGGTTTGCCGTTGTTCAAGCAATTTGAACATGGTGACCACTGTTTTAATCGGTCACGCGATGAGCTGAAGACCTGAAGACCTAAAGATCCAACTCGTTCGTTTATGTAACTAACCTGAAGACCTGAAGATCCAACTCATTCGTTTATACAACTTATTGTTCAAACTCTAGATGCTTTGTGTCAAAGCATCTTGAGTTTGAGGGAGGGTGTTAACGTATGGATATGGATCGTACTGATTCATATCAGTATGAATATGCATATGTATGGGTATATATCTCTTGATAGGATTAGGATGTCTAATCTTCGATGGGGGCTTAAGGCCCAAATACATAGAAATATAGTTTCTAACATAAACTAATGTTGATAATGGGCTAGGCAACCTAGATATTAAAAAGCTACGTTGTGGGCCACGAAATGTGGTCCCGAGGGCCACCCAAGCTAGCCCTATCCAACCCTTTTGACGCAGACCTACAAGACCAGGGCGATGTTAGGGCTTGCCCTAATTCCGATAGAGGATGCATAGACCATTATAGGAAAAATCAAGCAGTTCAATTCATAACTGCCCCCCGGTTGGTGGCCAGTTTTGGTGAATCGGTTGGTATTTTAAAAAAAATTCAAACAATCTTATTAAAAATCTCAAAACAAAAAGAGATTTTGTTTGTAATACATTTTTTAATGTTTTTCATCATTTTGGAAAATATTGGAAATTGTTTTGGCTATTATTACATATTTTTACATTTTTTCATTTTTTTTTAGAAAATTTCAAAAATATCTCTAGTTATAATTGATTCTTTAAAATCTATTTTTTCATTAATTTTCAACTTCATTTGGATGTGCTTTGTTTAAAGATGCTTTAAATATATTTTTCATATTCTATTTTTTTTTTTTTATATATTTTTTATTCTTTTAACATTTTTTGACCGTTTGGGACTTATTAGGTAGGTTGAACTGGCAAGTTCACTAGTTAGGCCAGGCGAACTGCTTTTGACTCCATGTCAGTTCACCACTCCGGTTCGATTTTTCCTACACTGATTCAGACCTTATGGTAAAATTACTGAATTTATTGGTCGAAGGGTAAAGTCAGCCATTTAGCCTTCTTAGAAATAGGAGAAAAAAAAAAAGGTTTCTCATTTTTTTTGTTTTTTCTTTAAGACTCAGTTTCTGTGGCCAACTTTACATATGCATAAATGTGGGCTCATTAATAAATTTATTTTTGAGATGACGTTCTAAACTTGATTTTTAAAAACACGTAATCTCTAACAGGGGAAATCATGAACATGAAAAAATAATAAAAATAATAAAAATTTTAGTAAAAAAACATTTGGAGCATTAGTTTCCATTGTTTTCAAATGGAACACATGAGGTCAAGCCCCCATGAAACAATTTTCCTTGTCTTTATTGTTTGTTTTGCAATTCAGTAATAGGAAGTGATGTTGAGATGCAATGTTGCTTGACGTCACCAGTCGTGCCACCCCATTCCTCGTAAACAGAAAAAAATGAGGACAAAAATGGGCATTATCAATGCAACGGCATTAAAAGAAGCAGGAGGTCTCACTTGCTCGCTGCTCCGCCAAAGCGATGGACCACGGTGGAAGGCTGGTGGTTCTGTGCGGCGTGGGGTGGGCGGAGGTCTTACTTGCCGTCCTCTGTTTCCTCGTGCTCCACTACAAGCCTTTCATCACTTGGCCCCTCCTCCGCGACCTCCCCGCCCTCCTTATCAACCTCCCCCGCATCCAGGACTGGACTGCTGATGTCCACGGTGCCGTCGGCGGCACCTTCACCGCCCGCGGTCCCATCCTCACCGGAATGCGTCTCGTTCTCACCTGCGACCCCTGCAACGTGGAGTACATCCTCAAGACCCGCTTCTCCAACTTCCCCAAAGGCCCGGACTTTCAAGACATTTTCCGGGAGCTCATGGGTGACGGCATCTTCAACACCGATGGCGACGAGTGGCAGGCTCAGCGGCGCACCGCAAATGCTCATGTCCGCTCGAAAGCCTTTCGAACATTCTTTGAGAAAAAGAGTCGTGAGCTCGCCTTCATCAACTTGGTGCCTATACTAGGCAGAGCAGCTGAAGAGGGGGCGGCAATCGACTTGCAGGACCTCATCATGAGATACACGGTGGACGCGACCTGTGCGGCCCTGTTCGGTGAGGCTATCGGCTACCTTGCGCCTGAGCTCCCACTCGTGCCCTTTGCCCAGGCTGCGGATGAGGTCATGGAGGCGGTTGTGGTGAGGCACGTCCTGCCGCACATGTGGTGGAAGCTGATGCGCCTGCTGGGCCTCGGCATGGAATCCCGACTAGCCAAGGGCGTGCGCACCATGGATGAGTTTGTGGCACGTCAGGTGGTGAGTGCAAGAGGCAGAGGTAGTGGTGGTGGAGACCTGCTGTCGATCTTTGCGACGGGCGATGTGTCTGGGACTGATAACAAATACTTGAGAGACGTCGCAGTGAACTTCTTGATAGCAGGGAGGGACACAACGGGAGCAGCCCTGGCTTGGTTCTTCTGGCTCGTGAGCAGGCACCCTGAGGTCGAGGCCAAGATCTTAGCCGAGCTCAAGGAGAAGGGCACCAAGGACCTGAGCGAGCTCCACTACCTCCACGCCGCCTTATCCGAGACTCTACGTCTCTACCCCTCGCTGCCATTAGACCACAAGGGAGTTCGAGAAAAGGATGTTTTACCGGACGGCACCACTGTGGAACCAGGGACAGTGATCGTGTACAGTATCTACGCCATGGGAAGGATGGAGTGGATATGGGGAGAAGACTGCCTCAGATTTAAGCCAGAGAGGTGGGTTGGAGAAGACGGAAAGCTCAGAGCAGAGAGCGGTTTCAAATTTCTGGCCTTCAATGGAGGCCCGAGGACCTGCCTGGGAAAGGAGGTGGCCTTTGTGCAGATGAAGTGCGCTGCGGCCGCGGTGCTAAGCTCGTTTCGACTGGAGGTGGTGGCAGGCCACAGGGTCTCGATGAAGCCTTCAGTGATACTGGTCATGAAAGATGGCCTCAAAATGAGAGTCAGGGAAAGGCTGCCGGGAGTTGCAGGAAAACCTATTTTCCGGCGAGTTTAGGCTGATTCCGGCGGTGAATGTAGAGAGAAATGATTTCCTCCTCCTGTCCACGTGATGCAAATGTTATGGCTAAGGGATGTTTGGTGATTGTTGTTTCCTGTTTTTAGTGTTTTTCTGGAAAAGAGTCGGGTGTCTCCAGTCCCGCGTGCTATATTCTCAGTGGTCCAACCTAAGTTCTTGTCTTTTTTTTCTTTTTTTTTGGTTTTTTCAACTGGCTGAAAACCTTCCACTCTCTCCGTGTTTTCCATTTTGAGAAAGTTTATGTAAGCCTGCAGCTTTATTATTACACTTCAAAAATCCAAAGGAGAGTTTGGATTTTGAAAAACCCATCTTGGCCTCGAGCGTAGATATAAAGTTAAAAATAAATAAATAAAGTAAAAAATAATAATTTAAGTCTAAAAAATAGTGTCTCGTAATCAGTTATCTAGATAGTTTACTTTCAAGATTTTTAAATGTTTATAAATTTACTTGATTTATAAATATTTTAGAATTTTAAATTTCATAATTAGAGTTGAAATGAATTTACAAGCCATTATAAGATTTCTAACACTAAAACTGCATCTTCCGCCAAAATTTAGAAGTATATTTTAGGGAAAAAGTTCATATAAGGTTGCAACCTTAAAATGTAGAATTACAGATGTACCTTAGAAATCCATAAGGTTGTTTTAATATTGAAAAACCCTCCAGTTGATCATCTTGACATAGAGATGTATGAATGTGACAAATAAAAGAAGATTTTTGAGTCCTGAAAATAGTGCATCTTATAACACATTATTTAGACCGTCTATTTTCAAGATTTTCATATGTTTATATATCTACTTGATTTTAACCATTTTTGGAGTTTAAAATTTTATAATTAGATAAATTTTATAATTAGATATGAAAATAGATTTTCAAATAATACTAATAATTTCTTACACCAAAATTATATGTTATGATCAACTTTGGAGATCCACCTTAATTGAATTGTTTAAGGTTGTAATTTTAGAGAACCACACCCATATTTTAGTATAAGGTGGACATCTTATACAAACTAGTGTTGGAAACTACTACTTGGGCATGCCCAATCTGAGTTCTCATATCGTGTTTGAGTAACTCTGCCCAAGTAGTGTCGAGTACTAAAGCAACAAAAAAATAGTTAAACAAAAAAAAGAAAAAAGAAGAAAAAAAATGTGTGTTTAAAGTAAGATTAAGCAAAACAAATCAAAATGAGGTTGAACAAGTAGTTAAAAAACTAGATTTTAGAAAATCAAGTTGTGAGTATGGATATTTTCAAAATAATTCAAAAGAGATGGAATATTGTAAAAATAAGTATTTATGGTCAAAACAATTTTCATTTTTTTTGAAACGATAGAAAACATAACTAAACATAACTCAAATAAATTTTTTAAAAGTATTTTATATGTTTTAATATCATCAAGTTGCACACCCTCGAGCTAAGAAAGGGCTCCAGATCGAGTGACTTGGCCCACTTCTCAAGTGTGACTTTCGGATCACCCAGAATAGGGTAGTATAACCGGAGAGGGTTCAAACTTAACATTATTTATATAAACAAAATCCAAAATTTTGAAAATTTTCGACCAATATCTTTGACCTGGTGACAAAATTAAAATAAAAACTTAGAAATAAAAGGCCTGACGTAGCATCACTTATGCACAACACAAAATATGACTATGCAGTTCCATTCCAAAAGTAGATTTTTTTAGAAATTTTTTTTTTTGGTAATTTAGTGAGAAAGACTGGCCCCTACCGAGTTTTTCAATAGACCGCAGAGTTTCAATAGACTGAAGAGTTACATTCTGAAGGTGTTAAATTGGGGATATTAACTGTAAGAATAGATGTGGTAACTGGGTGTGGGATGCTACCACCGTCACCCGAGCCTCAATATATATATATATATATATATATATTTTCTTTCGGATATTCATTTCCTCCATCAACCATCAACCAGTTTGGGTAAAGTATTAATAAACAATGGAACCTACGTTTGACCAACCATAAACCGAAAGCCGACTCATTTTCCTACCTGTTTAGGAAAACAAACCAAAAACAACTTACCAACAAAAACTTACCACGATGCCAAGACTATTGAGTGACTCCAGGAGTTCCCCCAAACACTTCAGCGTAAACTCTCTCTCCAAAACACCAGCATAAACTCTCTCTCTCTCTTGTATAGGAGAGAGCACATCGCTGAAGGGGTTGAGGGAACTCTAGGGGTCTCCCAATGCATATCAGATAGGCTGCTGAGAGGCAACTACTGTTACATGTATTTATAGGGCTGCTCAGCTGAATTTAGATGGTCGTTTGGAATCAGATACTTTCGTTGCTAAAATGGAGGAATACAATGAACCTGGTCGGTTTTCCAGCCAAGTTACGGCTGTGCCCCTACCCTTTAGTTTTGATCACCTTTTCGTTCTCAACTTTGTGGTAGAGCATCCTCCCACTGGCCCTACTGTTTCTCTCCCTTGCTCACCGGCGATCACATTTCCATATATTACATTCAAATTTCGAAGTGATTCCATTACACCACTTCCCAATCTTAGTGCAGGCAGATATTCTTACCATTTCTCTTTTGGTAATATCCTCACTTTTTCTCTTTGTTTGTTTGATATCCTTCCTTCTTTTTCTTCTTGCTTTTATTTGAGAAAATGTATAACTAATTTTCCTTAATCAACATCATGATCTTGAAAGAAAGACCTATGTGATTTTTTACTGTGAAATACATTTTTTATTTTTTATTTTTTTTCCACCCCTTTCTTTTGGCAAAAGATCACTTACAGGTGGTCTCAACTGGGCTTATTACACCCCACACCGAGTCACCCCCATCCGATGACGCGAGATCAACGGTCTAGCTTCAATCTCGAACCGAGAAAGCAAATGTCGGCCAAGCCACATCAATGGAACATGAACCCCTTTGATCACAAACTCAAACCCTAGATGAATTCTCTTATCAACTTAGTTTGAGAAAGATGGATTCTCTTTTTGTTAAACCCTAAAACTCTTAGTCATAAATCCATATTTGAGAGATAGAAGAGAAGAACTCCATAACCACAACCCTTAGGCTCTTTCACAATGTGTGAGAAAGAGATCATACATTAGAGAGAGTGGTGCGTAACCCTTTTTTGGGATATGAGAGAGAAAGATGGGAATTAAGTTCAAGAGATAAGGTATATAGGTTTTTTTTGGTAGAGACAATCTTTTTTTATAGGCTTTGAATAAGATTAGGGTTTCTTAGGGTTTTCTTTGACTTGCCTTTTCTTGTGAGATTGAACATAAACCGTCGATCAAGGGTGACTTGTGGGGTGAGAGATCTGAGCCATCCATTCCATAGATGGGCCATCAATATTATGAAAGGTGCATGACCCATTATCCCCTTTCTTAAACCGTTTTCCCATCAATATATTTAAAGAAAATAAATATTATGGATTCTTATAAAATTGCACGATCCATGTCACATATTCCATAAGGATATGTCAAATAATATCAAGTAGATAAATACTACAAAATATAAATAAGATAAGATCCATATCAATTCAAATTGACCAGATCTCTTTAAAACAAACTTAATACAAAATAGATATAGCCATGGTCAATATATCCCTTCCAAAATTGACCACATACCACAAATCAATCTAATTTTCTCTTAAAAGCAAACAAGAGAATCCAAAGAGGGTGGGGCATGTCACCCTTTTGTGGCACATGTGGGCCCCCACCCACATGCCACATGGTGGGCCCATGTGTACTATGGCCCCCCATGAAAAAAAAACTTTATTTTAAAAATTGAATAAAAGAATTTAAAATATATATATTTGAATTTTTATAACTTTGTAAGAACAATAACTGTATTTTTATAAGTCCAAAAATCATAAATAAAATATTGAGAGCTTCATAAAATTCAAATAATAAAACTAAAACCATTTCAATAATAAAATGAACGCAATTAAATTAATATGATGGGAAAATGATCCATATAGTTTTAGGAATCTAATATGTAATAACGGGATACTCCATCTTCAACTGTGGACTACATACCACACTAGCTTTATCGAACAGACCTAGTATTTCCCATGACCCACAGTCCAAGCAGGGGCTCATTAGCCGGTCAACAAAGTCAGATCGATGAATCAAGGGGTCGCAATCCCAGTCTGTGGATTACAGGTCCTCCCCTAAAGACGAGTCAAGGTCACCACGACCTGATGTGACCACAACTCTTTGACGCATAGGGGTATCTCTCGTACATGCATACGCTTCACCTAAAGGTGGATATCTGGCTTTCTTGAATGATCTATCAATATGCATGCCGTGTGATGGAACATGAATGAGGTTTTGGCCCCCGTCTCAGTAGGCTATCATCACACACAAGGGTCACACAGTCCCTCGGCTTACTCATTCGGGCATATTGTCTGACGTCATCAAGGGCTAACCCATAAACCCTCATCGGTTTGTTCTTCATGCCTAGGTAACATGGGTTTTTCCCAACCGACTGGCTTAGATCGTCAAGCACAGTCCGGTATCTGCAAACATCGTTTGCTTAGTATGGCCTACAAGGGACCACACTTTCACTGAGTTCATGTTCCACTATATCATTTCATTTTACAAGCACTCATAAGGCTTTCAAAGGCTACATAAACTCAACATCTTCCACTTGGCCTTTGAAGGCTTTACATTCTCTCTTTCTCACTTTCTCTCATTCTTATCTCTATCTCCTAATTACAATCTCTCTCAAGAATTTTTACTTATTCTCTCAATACATTAATCATGGCTTTCACCATCAATCCTTTCACAAAAAGATTTATAGAGGCAACACATTTTTCTCTTTGCTGCTCGGATCTCATCCCAAAAATGGCCGTAGCTCATTTTTCACATCGCATCGCGAAATCATGGACCTGTTGTCGCAAAAGACCAACACGTACCCTCATCGCATGGGGTCGTATGTTCATGGGCTCAAAAGAGTTCTTCAAATAAGTTGTTTCCTTTTGTAGTTATACAACTAACACCAAACATTTGGGTTCCATAGGTGAACAACCTTATAGTCGGTTGTTCCATTTGGCATGCCAAATACTAGCAGGTGCTCCCACTAGAATATTTAGTTTATTTGGATCTTGATCTTTCTCAATCTTACCTCATTCCTCAGGTGATAAAAACATGGTTTTATATGCTTAGAGTTCTTATGGAATCGTGACTCCTTTGACACGCATATCGTCACCGTGCTGTTGCAGAAAATTCTTATTGCCTCACAACGCACGAGGTGAAAGTCAAGTCGA